AAACGTTCTGGTCACCTGATTTACTTTTTATTAATCGGCATATTTCATCTTTATTAACGTGTTTGTTATTTGGCTGTTTTGATAGATTTACTTCGCAATCATTTAGAGTTTCTTCAGATGGTTGTTTGGATATCTTAGCTAGTTTTCCTTTGAGGGCGACTCGTCTTCGTTCTTTGTGTCGTTCGCATAATATTTTAATGGCAGTATTCAATGTTGGCAGATGTTCTGGCGTAAGAGTCTGTTCAACCTTTTCTTTATGGAATCTAATCATATGCTAGTATTTTTTAATCGTATTGTGTGCATCCGTGATCAATAATTTCATCATTTGTTTTCCATGTTGTTTGGCTCATTTTCAGCCTAAAATGCAGTTAATTGGTGGTTTATATTTGACACTAGTTGGTGGAATCTGCTGGCGGAAACATTCATGAAGAAAGAATAGTTGTTCTTCTGTAGAAACTTGCCTTTTAACAAAGTCTTCTAATGTAATTTGACGAGTTGCCTAGGATATAGAGTAGGGTGAATCAGCCCAGATGATTGTGCAGAGAAATATCGCCACATCACCGGTCTTTTATGAAGGCGGATTTAGGCTATAAGAGTTGGAAACATGAACTATCACACATCGAAGTCATTATCATGCACAGTTTTCCCACGTATTCTACAGATATCTGGTGCTGTTAGGATAGGTTCAATTAGACTGTAATTTTGTATTCACGCAGAACCCGTTTATGCATCGATGCAAACATTCTCGGACTTCAATTCAAGGTTTTGTCCCATCCATATATGTGTCTTTTGCTTATCTCTCCTTTTCGACAATGTACATCACAGTGTTTTATCTTTTATTCACCTCAATACATCATTCCATTCAACAATAAGGAATTCTCATGTTAAGCAATTTTGATTTGTTGTCTCTGGTTACATTATCTCCTTATTTATTTCCCTCAACAATTATCATGGGTTCATATAATTTCCTCGACGATAACATGGTAGATGTGTAGGAAAAATGGCTAATTCGTGTTTGTAATGCTTGATATAACTACATGCATTTGATGGGATTTGTGGTGTTCCTACTCGTCTCTTGAGGTCACTAAGTAATGAACAAGAATGCTGTTATGATTTCCAAAAAGTCTTCGACAAGTAGCATATAGGCTACTCTTTCATGTTCTGAAGAGATACAGTGAAGTTAGATAAGCAAGTGAAATGCAACAGCATAAGAGCATTGCCAATGAATATGTTGAGCTATGAGCATTCCAGTTATATATTATTGTCAATTTTAGTATTTCAATACTCACAAGCGCTTTCAAAGTAAGTTGAAGAAGTTTCAAGTTTTACATTGAATTTAGCGAACGCATACTGCAGACGTCCACTCCTCAATTGTCTGGATTACATTATACTTCTAGTTCAAATGTTTAAAATTAACTTACATAAATGTGCGTAATGTGAACAGGATTATAACTATTAGTTTGATGTTAGGTGTTCTCATAATGCAGGAGGGATATCTTTTCCTCTTCGGGAAGATCAGGAATGATTTCACGAAGGGAAATAAGTTGACGACTGACCGAGACATTTCATGATTCATGAAAAGGATAGACAAGAAAGTATTTGACAGGAAACCGAAAGAAATCCAGTTGCTACAAATATTTTGGCGAATGCTTGCAAGCATTAAATCCACTCTGGAAATGGAATACGGGTCCAAAGTACGCTTTCTAGGTGTGGAATAAGCAAGACGGTGCTACGAAACGAACGAGGTCATCTCTTAAGAGACCAACCTAAAAGTCAGCTAACATACAATTCACAAAAAGATCGATTTACTGTGAGTTGCTTTAATATTATCTCATATTGTATAAATGAGTATGCACCAGTAATTCAAAACATATAAGCGGCCACAAAAAGCAATGGAAATCCTCGAGAAAGTGGACGCATAAGTCATCAACTCGGTAAAATGTGATTCCTATTACACTACTTTTTTCGTTTCTTTATTGCCAACATTGCAGTTACCAAGACTGAATGAATATACAGACAGTGGGACGGAAAATGTTCATTACTCAATCAAATATTCAAGAAAAAAACTTTTATTTGGAGACTGATAAATAAAAGTGTTACTGCTGAAAACTTGATAGGAGGTATAAACTAAATACGAACGATGCCACGTAACCAATCATAACAATGTGGCTACGTGTGACGTAAATACTTTCTTTGTCATTGGACAGGATGATTCAGAAATGACATATGATCCAGTCAACCACATCGTATTCTATGAGGAAGAGAATGAAATTCCATTTTATGCTGTTTTAGTAAAGCAAGCAAACGCAGTAAAATTTTTGCAGTATTCGAGAAGAACATGAGTAACCAGATCCACAAAAGTGCTGTTTCTCCGTCCTGAGATTGAAAGTCCAGACACTTTGAGTGAACTGCTCACACAGAAATAGATATAAAAGACGCTTCATGATATAGATTTACCGGAATTAACAAACTCATGACAACCGAAATCAGGAAGCTCCTGCCAACAATTCTGAATTCCCAGAGTAGTTCCTTCAGAGAGAATTGATTACTCTGTTGCATAACAACCGAGGTGTTCAAAAGTGTTCAGTTAAACGTTGAGAATTCGAAGAATTCTCTACCTGGATTTCAGAAGAATGGTTTGTGGTCCCTTCATGAAACTATTTTAGATCAAATCTGTCCCCTAATAATTGTATCCAAATCCCTTTTATCTCGTGTTTTATGTTAATTGCCTCAGACAAAGTTAAACAATGAAATTTTGTAATTGTGAATAGTCATTTAGTGAACATGATATTGCAGAAGTGCCTTTTGAGTTCAATACCTACTTGGAAACTAATTGATATTGAGTTATAACATTTTTTAATCTGTAGTTGATAAAAAGCATGTTCAGAATCCATGTTTTAATTATATATTTTTTGGAAAAATATAATATTCAAGTTAAAAGATATTTATGCACTCATCAATGTCAAAAAGTTTTGTGGACATGGTGGATTTTTATTTTCAAAGATAGCGTATATTGCTGTGAACAGTCCAAGAATTTCCAACCATAAACAGAACGCTCGAAATATAATTGTGCAATAAGTGCTCTTGTATGAGATGCAAAACCGCAGTCTGTTCATTGTCAAGAACATCGCCTAGAATGTAGGAAAATAAGCAACGCTGAATGAATTATGTCTACCATTTGAGACATTATTGCCTATTCAAAGTATTTTAATCAGTGTATCATTTCGTTCACGAACTTGTGGATGTCAAACGATGAATAGTGCCTTCGATATAACTAAACTGAACTTTGAAACGTACAATAAGCCTATTTGCTACAATTGTCTCATGGAAGAGGTTCACAATGCTGTCGCAGTTGAATAATTACATTTCTTCCTAGTGAACTGAATGCATGTTTCTGAGAGGTCTGTAGTCTTGATAAATAATTTATAATCCACATCACACAGCATCACTGAACTATGCGTGTGCGTGGAAATTTGCAAGATTTAAAGCTGACGAGTTCCACTCCGATTACAATATTTGCTGCTATGGATTAAAAAAACGCACTTAACAGTAGGAGATGAATTAACAAACGCTGCATTTTACACTGGATATCGGTAAAGAAACATTAGAGCATCATTAAAACAAATTGGCTCATTCTAGATTACACAGATTCTAAGGTGACACTGAACTCAAATAATTTTGTCATGATACTGAATTTAAACATGTGCATCGGTACGATAGCGGTTAGGACGCCCGCTGACCATGCACATGGTCCGGAGTTCGATCCCCGGCCAAAGCACTCTTTTACTTCGCCAAGCCAGAAATAATGCTGGTGAAGAGAAACGGTTGGGCATGAGGCTAGCAACCTCATCCTGTAAAACAAACACTGCTACAGAAACTTCAAGCCACTAGATTGAAGCCCTATTGTGGTGAGAGCTAGCTGCTAGCCAAAGTTGGTAGACAGTAATTGACGTCAATGTTTATATCCCCAATATTGATGTTGAGAAATGAGAACAAAGGCTTTAGGTAGGCGGATACAGTTAGCATATGGATGCTCCGACACAGCCACAAAGAGATGCAAGGTTAATTTTCTGTGAGAAACAACCAATCAAAAGACTGCATTTTCTACTAACAATAATCTACAATAATGCACATTAAAATCTATAAATATGTGTTGATTTTCCTTTAATAAAGGATCTGTTGCCTGACCCTTGTCTTCTGTTGTTACACTACGTTCCCTTGGGGAACGTGAAGGAAAAAAATTGAATTTGAACTTACTAAAGCCACAGCGATGCCGAAGGAAACTGCAATAGTATTTGTGTAAATCCGCTAAAATTATGCAAAAAAAATTCAACATCAGAAACCGACTTGTTAAACTTTAAACAAAAATCAGGATTTAATATCTGCATGCTGAAATGCCTTTAACTCATTGTCATCGAACTTTCACTGCACCACTAGAGTTTAAAAAGAATGCACTGCGCTTACACTATAATAACGATTATTCCTGGAGGATATCACTTTACATTTATCTGATTCACTCTAATCTCATAAAAAGTAATTAACACTGTTGATAGTGCATGACTGCAGATGCATCTAGTCCGTTTATAATCAATGGAATAAACCCCATAACCTGTTATCAGACATATGGTACAATACTGTATTAGATAGGTGGATAGATAGGTGAAAATTTTCATTGAACGTATTTTGACGACTCTCAAGGATCTTAAAAGACGACTGAAAGGAAGTAAGATGACGTCTGCAGGAATAAAACGGTACTTCAGTTTACGATGATTGTCACACGATTCATCTTAACTAATCTTATGAAATGGTTTGAAGTTATGCAGATATAACCTCTGAATACATGGAATCCGTCTCTTTGTTTTCCATGCGTAGCATTATGTGAATCAACAATCACCAGTTAGGAAGTGTTAACGGGAATGATACATTGTGAGGCTATCGTAGAACCCAGTTATTTAAATCTTACCTGGGGTACATGTTGTATGATCTGAACAACGTACACAATGACTCCAGTGATCACCAAAACGCACATGAATGAGAATAGTGTGATGGTCAAAGCAGTGGATGAATTTCGCAGGTATAAAGCCAAAACGATCACAAATGTAGTTAGTGCTATCGTCACACCAAAAGATATTGAAGCATTGAAGATATTGAAACCCCGGTACATAGTGGCGAATCCCATGGAACATAGTAGGAACTAGGAAAGCATTTGAGAATTATATTGCAATGAAGTATATATCAATGCAACTCAGATTTGTAGATTTCTCCGACTGGTTTATTACAACTTTATCACTTCAGGAACTTCCCTCCCCCCTTGTTTACAAGAAAAAGTTTTTCTGACATTTAACGTATTTTGGTAATTCCCAGCTGCTTAATATCGTGACTACTATGGGAGCTATTGATCGGCTACACTAGAGCAGTAAAACATTTAGGTAGACTAAAATATTATGGTTACTAAAGAGAAAGAAGTTTTTTTAATTAGCTGGCATAAGTGAACTAGGAATATCGACGGTGTGAGTGTCATCAACACAAACGTTAATTGCATAATCTATTCAGGGTCTGGTTCAGTGCATACCTGATGAAAAGAAACCTGTAAACATCTAGAGCGTCTTATGTTCCATATATACTCGGGCGGCTGACTTCGTAAGAATTGTTATCAGAACACTGAAAAAAGGTTCGTAATGATTTGTGCACATTTCAGTTTACTGATCCGTCTGTGGGTTAAATGCCTGTGGCTGCATGATCAGCTCTGTCTGTCAACATACAAAAATAAGTCTTATCAAACTTCATAGATCGATTATTATTTCTATTGAGGTCGCTGTTATGTATGTTGCAGCTAGAAACATGCATCAGCGCATGTGTTTCCTATGCAATGTATCATCTCACAACAATCCTAATTTGTGATTTCCTCAGTTAAATTTGATTAAACAAAAATTCGTGGTAAACGCACTACAAAGGGGGCATAAATGGATGGTAAGTATATGTTCGTTTGGAGCATATGCAAGTCACTTCAGCTTTAGTCATGAAATCCTCATCCAGGTGACTCAGATAAGATTGACTCAAAAAACTTACACTGAATCCTATCAGAAAGTGATCAACATCACGGCGAATTTTAAGTATTTTGAGTAATGCGAGGAAGTGCTGCAAGTAGTCTGAAAAGTAACGTGAACGGTAATAATTTATTGCATAGCTCACAATATCCATGTAAAAGCCAAAACAGAATCATGTTGTAAGCAAAGGGTGATTATTGAGAAGTAAGTGTTAACGCGACTGTTGATTACGACTGACGTTTCTGGAAAATCATCTCTCCCAGAATCTTTCAAGTCACGGAGTTATCTGGTAACAATTCGCTGCAGGATATCCAGAGAAGTAACTCGAATGAAGTTTCACGATGAATACTTCCATTCTGACCGCTTTCTTCGCCATCTCATCAGGTCACTAGGTACTTGCTAATTACCACCCTCTCTCATAAATCCTTGATTAGTTACAAAACTCATACTTAATCAGTAGAATTGAGAACCGAAGACAATCTTTTAATGATTTCACCAATAGTCTGATACAGTATGCCGCATGGAATTCATGAATTGCATTCAGTAGCATTAATTGTGCAAAAGTTCGATCTTCTCTTACTCTCAGAGTTGCAATTCAAACACTTACTACTTACGTGAATCATATAAGTGCTATTCCAGTTAAGCAACAGTTGTAGCTGCCAGATAGCTGCTGTAGCTGTAGGCAATCGCGTTAGCCCTTTATTAGCAGATATCTTAATGTGCAACCTTGAAAACACAACGCTGAAGCATGTCATTGATGAAACAACAACTAATTGTCGATACAATGATGACACATTATTAGTGTGCAACAAAGAAAGTCCTGCTTCCTAAAGAGTGGGACTCACGTACAGTGTAACATGAAAATGATGGGCAGTTCCATTTCCTTGAAATTGCCATGCAACGCCTAAAAGATAACAGTCTCCAGAGGGCACTTTATGGAAAGCCTCCGTGGAAAAGACAATACCTACGTTTTAATAGTTTTTCTCTAGATAGCTTCAAACGCGCACAACACAATAATAAAGAGTCTATGCTTTAGCAAACAATGTATTTATACTATATATATTTTTTTGTATAGTATAGATATATACTATACACTATGGTATGTATATTTTATACTACAGGGCTGAGAGAATATGCCGTACAGCAGAATAAGAGTAAGAATTTATGATTCTTGAAAATATGTTGAAAAACTACGGTTACTCTTCAGGATTCATTAACAAGTATGGAATATGTGAAGGGTCAAATCTCAAACAAGTTACAGTGAAGAAAAGCCTTTCTTCACTCAACTTGATTTTAAGGGTGAAAATATTGCGGCAATAGTCAACAGAAGACTGAGATTATCACTGACCAGAGCATATCATGGAACCAAGCTGTATCCTGTCTATTAGACAACATTCCGCTTGGGGCAATCAAAAGTCGACATATACTCTTATCACGTTAACCCCAACTATGCATACAAATTAGCGTATATCCGCACGAACATTTACATTATGAGAGCAGAAAGAAGGGCATACCTCCGATTTTCTGAACGTATACGGAGACACCAATGACTCCAGGGAAAAAATGATTGCAATAATGCTATTAGCAGCCATCTCCTTGATAGCGATGATGAGCTAGAAATCACAAAACCCTTTTAAATTATCTGTCGACAGAAATGCCCAATTCTCCTCAAGTTTGCTGGAGCAATCTCAATCAGGCACCTGAAACGTTAACTGTGTGTTCAGGTACAAGCAGTTACCAGTCTTTCCTTGCTCTGGTGACTGGAGGTCTATATTCTGTCTTTAGTTTGATCATATAAATGTTTTGTTTCCACAGTGTAATTGCGCATGTCTCTTGTTTTTCTGAACCAAGTTAAACTCAGTTTATGGTCACCAAATTTATTAGTCAACCATCATCTTACGCATCTCTCGCCTTTATTACGTTACTCTTTCACCATTGTATGCACACATTTACTTTGTTTCAGTTTAAACTTCCTATGTTAAAGCTATATAAGCGTGATTTACTGAGCACTGTTAACCAATTCCGAAACTTCCTGTCAACTGATATCTCGTAAACGTTGCAAGTATATTATCACTTTTCTGCACTTAAACTTCATAATTTATTTATGCAGTAAGTAGATGATGAGAAGATAACGAAATACATAACGGTAACGTGTTATTCTGCAAAAATTGTTGTTCTTTCTGTATTCAATGCCTTGAATGATATTTACTTCATAAATGCTTTACTTGGATTATGCTTCAATGTAGTGCGTAGTGTATCATATCTAGTGAAGATATAGTGTCACGCAGAAAAATAGAGAATTCCTTTTCAACTGTTTTTATCAATTATTACAGTTAGCAAGTAGATTTTAGAACAGTGTGTGCGTGTGTGTTGTCAAGTAGATATATCAAGTAGATATATCCAGTCATCTACGGTTTCATAGAATTTGATGTCTCCTGATGGTTAATTAATCCTACATTCGACAAAAAGTTGGGTGTATGTAAAAGAACCGCACATAAATATTTGGTGTACGCATCGTATAATTGACTTACATCAAAAGAATTGAGATCCATTTATTCTCCGTTATCCAGTTACATAGGCCATTTCTATGAAACGAAAACATTGTCTCACCATAGTAGGGATTTCAGTCTTACATTTTGTTAACCATGACAAGCATTCCCACCGTCATTAAAAGCATTAAGAATGTATCAATCATCATCTATGTAAAACGATTTCACAAGGAATTAGTGCTTTCTTACCCAGATGAAGAAGTGCAGGAAGCCGCCTGGTCGTAGACCGAAACTTGACGTTTTCAAAATGTCCGATCTCGCAATTTTACTTGACATTTTGTTATCTACAGAATGTTGAAGAAAATACGTTATCTCCATGGCGAATGAATAATACTCTGTTAATTAATGGAGAATTGAATGTGACACATGTGCATACAGGTGTTACACTATGAAATCAAATTTTTCATGTAACTGCTGGAAATGCAATTATAAGGCTAATAGTAGCATGACATGTGACTGACCACGAAAGAGAACCCATTTTTCAGTTGTCGCTTTACAGCACTTCAAATTTGTTGATAATCAGTTCAGAAGAACAGTGCGCTCAGTTGACAGTAAATAGCCCGTGGACCTGTCCGACCTTTCAACAAACTCTTTATCAAGATCGTTTGAATATGCATTTTGCTGTATTCATTTTGCTTTGAAGTATTTCTTAATGAGAAATCGTTTGTAGATATCGGTAGAAATGTTTTTGTTTTCACAACGGTACATCCGTTATGTTCCCTCCTCATCTTCAAACTACATATATACAGAAATAAGTAAGAAACGCAAATGACATCGGCAGGAATGCATAATTACAGTGTATACATAAGCAAATTTGAAATGCATAATTAAAACTGTAATGTTACTATCGATCACCCCTTACCTGTCTCGTTTTCAAACTTCTGATAACAATGAACGTGCAAATAGACTTTAATATTATACATACTATATATATATATTATATTGTTGACTGAAAAACATGCACTTCGATCGCGACAGAGGACTGCAACATTTGTATTGTTCAAATTTGTCTAAAACAATCATTTCTGATAGAGTATATCATACAATTGGTTTTTTTAAATGTTAAAGTGGTTGCACTTGTTGTGATTCTAATTGTTATGGTCCCAAACTGCTTATTTTCAAGTTAACCATTTTTATTAACCGTATAAAACGTTTATGTAGTATATCATAAAACACTTTTTATCAAATGGTATACATTAATATTCGTGTGATTATAGTCGAAATAAAATGTGCATCAAACCCACACATAAATTACAGTTGTTTTGATATTTTGTAAAATGGAAAGCTTGTCTACAGAACAGGAAGTTCGGAAAAGAAATACATGAATGCTCAGATATCGTCAAGAACAGATTCGAAGTTTAAAGTAGACTCATGTTTTATACAGTGAAATGTGGTGCACTGGAATGGAATGAACGGAACACTTTCAAATGATAAGAAGAGTCCAGAGGGCCTGATGTCTAATGTAACATAAACAAGAAGACTTATAGTCAAATATCAAATTGTCAGAAGAGGTCGACAGAGAAGAATAAACGACGAAAGACAGCACGTGCTTATCTTTGTCAGCGCGGGGAAATTGAAAGAAGTTGATTGTTGAGATTATAT